CCGGGGCCGCGGCAGGCCTTGGGCTCTGCTGCCTGGGAAGGAGCCTTCCCCTGCCTGCCCAGGGGGCAGCGATGCCGGGACCCCGCTGCCATAGCAAGCACCCACAGAGGATGCAGGATGGGGGACCCGGGCAGATGGGTTTTGGGCGCTCCTCTGTCCCTTCAAGCACCCCGGGAGACGCTGAGCCCCGAGCAGGGGCTGTGTCAGCCATCACCACCTGGCATCTCAGCTCCGTCTCTCGAGTGGGGAGAGAGGGTGAGAGTTTATTCTCAACCCTCAAACCTGGGCAGAGGCTTAGCAGCAGCCAGAAAACGATACCTGGACCCTTCATAGAACTCTATGGACAGGCTGACAATCTCGTCGTCTGTCAGGTTCCCCTTGTCCTGCTCGGAGACTTCCCCGCGATCTTCGTTGGACCCGTTGGGAACTGCGGGAGCAGAGGGAGGGAGAGGCTGAGCCGGGGTGGGGGGCACAGCCGGGGCGAGGGGGGGGTCCCCGGGGCTGACACTCACCCTCTGCCATGGGGTAGGCTGCGTAGAAGTCGCGCCGCCTTTTCATCTCATCTGTGGGAAAAGGGAAGAGGAAGGTGAGGGGGAAAAAAAATCACAGAAAGGGGGAGATGGGTGGAAAGAGAGGGGAGCAAGAAGAAGCCCCGGATTGCCGAGCGCCTGCTCCCCGCCGGCAGCTCAAGCACGAGCTGCCTGGTGCAGACGGACCCGTAGGAGAGCAGTTGCTTTAGCAAGAGCGATCAAGTCGTACCAGTAAAACCCTCGGAGCGGCTGCAAATCCGCTGCTGTGAGAATGCCTTTATGGCGGCTCGACTGTCCTCAGTCTTTCCACACCTGCAGACCCCCACACTTTTTCCCCCGAGGACGGGCAGGCACTTGGAGAGCAAATCCGCGGCTCCTGCTCCCAGCTTTGCTTTTCGTGGTTCCCCCCAGCAGCAGCCCCCGGGCTGCCGGAGCGTGGGATGGGCACTATCCGGACGGACCCATCCCTGTCCGTTCACACCATGCATTTTCCTGCAGTCCCCGTTACACGGGCAGGGGCGTGCGTGGGCAGCGCGAAATCCGGGGGACCGGTTTCACTGGTGGGTGGGAGTGAGTTACAAACAACCCCAAACCCACACAGTTAGAACTGTCCATGGCTGTACCTTTGAAAAGCCCCGGGACCAGTTTGTACACTATGTCCTGGAGGGTTTTGTCCGACCTGGGGGAAGAAAAGAAATAGGAAAAAAGAGAGAGAAATCAGCTGGAGGGGGGCGGCTGGCTTCCCGGGGCTGCCCAAAGCTGCCCCGCACCACGCGTGCCCCGGCTGGCCCGAACGCCGCTTCTCCCCATCTCCCTCCCGGGGAACTCCCAGCACAAAGCCCCAGCTCCCCATCCCACGGCGACGCCACAACCCTGTCTCGCAGGGACACCCGTCCGCCCCCGCGCTCACCGCGGAGGGTTAACTCTGGGAGAAGAAAGAAAACCATTTCAAAAATCCTTGTAATTGCTAGGGATGATGACAGCAGGATTTTGGGGCCAGGATCCGTTTCAGTAGTCAAAACGATTACAAAAACACACTGAGAACTTACAAAAAAAATTATCTAAGACCAGCAAATGTTCCTGCAAGTTTTAATTTGCATCTAATCTTATTTTTTAACTCGGCTGCAGTTCAGGGCTCAGGCTTTGATTTCCCTCCGTTGCAAGGATGGCAGGACAGCGTCCACTGTCAGGTTGTTATACAGGAAAGCGAAGCGGATTCCCTAAAACGTGAACATCTCAAGGTAGGACCTTCTGAAGCACTCGAGGAACTGGGGAAGCTCAAGTCCCATCCTCAGCACAGAGCCGGGAACGGGATTTTGCTGGAAGGCTTGGGACCCCGCAGGCACAATTTAAAAGCAGCAGCTCAGCCGAATAAAAAACAATCTCAAAAACAAAGCAAGAGCAGTGGGACTGGTGAAAAGTAAATTATATCTGCAATTATTTCCATTTTAATAATAAGGCCTTTATTTAAAAGAAAAACAAATGACCGTACCCTGTATTATTTTTAGCCCAGCCATGTCTTTCATCCCTAATTCCTCGGTGATGTCACTCTGGTTCGTGAGGCCCCGCTGTGATTTTATTTATAATACATACCCAGAGAATTTGCTTTATAATTTACAACAAGCTAATGAAAAAGCAACCTCGGCCGCTTGACTGGCAGCTTAATTACCAGCCGGTCGCTGCTCTTGCATGAGTCAACCCCATTCAGCCCAGCACGGTGGCGCTGGGTGGGGGCCGGGGTGCCACGGGGGATGCGGTGGCCGCGCGTGCGCAGCACCCTCGGCACCGCACAGCACCACGACGGGGCGCGGGGGTTTCGGCGGTGCCGCGGCACCGGTTTGGGG